CTGTCCACTCCCAGCACAGTCCTCTCTTCTGTGCTCTAGGCTTCATGGTACAATGGCCTGATAAACATTTTCATTTGGATCTTAAAAGAAGCATGTCCTTGTTGTGGGCTGAAGTGCATCCCCCCCCAACAAAAACAACAACAACAACAAATCATATTTTGAAGTCCTAACCCTCAGTAATTCAGAATGTGATGTATTTGGAGACAGGGTCTTTAAAGAGGTGATTAAGGTAAAATGAGATCCTTCCAGTGGACTCTAATCCAACCTGACTGGTGTGTTATAGGCAGAGGAGATGAGGACACAGACACACACAGAGGGATGACCATGTGAGTACACAGGGAGAAGACAGTGATCTGCAAGCCAAGGAGAGAGGCCTTAGAGAAACCAACCCTGCCAACACCTTGATGTTGGACATCCAGCCTTCAAGACTGTGAGACAATAGATTTCTGCTGTTTCAGCAGCTCCCCCAACAGCCCATCTGTGGTCCTTTGTAACGACAACTGAAGCAGGTGAATGTAATCCTTAACAGAACTCATGCCTTCTCTCTGCCTTGCTTCTCGCCTTAGTGTGCCCCACCTCAGGAAATGGTGCCACCATTCAGCCATTTGTTTGTGTCTGTCCTATCAATATTTCTTCTTCATCTTCTTCTTCCTTTTCCTCCTCCTCTCCTCCTCCTCTGCCTCCTCCTCCTCTTCTTCTTCTTCTTGTTCCTCTTCCTCTTCTTCTTCTTCCTCTTCCTCTTCCCCTTCTCCTTCTCCCCTTCCCTCTCCCCCTTCTTCTCCTTCTCCTCCTCCACATTCTCCTTCTCCTCTTCTTCATTTTCATCTTCATTTTTAAAGCTGGAATAATTCTATAAAGAGAAAGTTTCCTCACAAATTTTTTGTTATTTTGACATCTCATTTGTATAGGAAAAGCAGGATTAAAATGTTTGATTCTTTTTTATTTTCTAGTTTTCAAAATAATGAGTTGGCTTCTTAGCATCCTTTAAGTGTGGCAAAGAAGTTTTTTTTTTTTTAAGTATTATTATGGACTCATGGGAATAAACATATTTTATGTACTTTAAATTGTTGCAGTTATTTTTATTGATGTTCAAATGGTCCCATCCTTGGTAAATGGGAGATTAACAAGGTGCCTCCTGAACTCATTTGGCATGGTTCTAGTGGACCTCATAAGAGGCTTTTCTCTTTCTATAACAAGATATTCCAGGATTGTCCTATATATTTCCTGCTCAGATCTTGAAATGCACCTTTCTTTAAGGGTTCTTAGTTTTTTTTTTTTCCTGGGGAAAAGGTACTTAGAGACAACTTAGGTACTAGGCTAGGATGCTTATTGCTGTTGTGTTGATTTTTGTTATTTGGCCTTTTCAGTAGCCAGAGCTAGGAAATAGAAAAATAAAATATAAAGATTAAATACATAATGAATCCAAACTGCGACTTCAAATTTAAATTTAAGTGATAGACTTACTCCCCATTTTTTAGAGCAGTAATCTCTCTCTCTCTCTCTCTTTCTCTCTCTATATGTAATACTGTATATGATTTGCCATTTAAGCCATTTTAAGTATACAATTAGTGCCATTAATTACTTGCATAATCTTGTGCACCATCACCACTATTTATTTATGATTGTTTCATCATCCCAAACAGAAACTCTACTCATTCAGTAAGAATTTTCTATTCCCCCTCCCCCCAGCCCCTAGCAACCTTTAACTTAACTTTTTGTTTTCAGGAATTGTCCTATTCTGAACGTTTCATATAAGTGGAATCTACAGTATTTGTTCTTTTGTGTCTGGCTGATTTCACTTAGCATAATGTTTTCAAGCCTCATCCACGTTGTTGCGTGTGTCAGAGCTTCATTCCTTTTTATGGCCGAGTAATAAATATCCCACTGTAGGCATAAACAACACTTCATTTATCCACTCATCTGTTGATGGGCACCTGACTTGTTTGCCCCTTTTGGCTGTCATAAATAGTGCTGCAATGAGCACTGGCATAGAAGTATCTCTTTGAGTCCTTGTTTTCAGATTTTTTGGGTATATACCTAGGTGTAGAATTGCTGAGTTACATGGTAATTCTGTTTAGCTTTTTGAAGAACCACCAAACTGTTTTCCATAGTGTGGCACCATCTTACATTCCCACCCACAATATCCTAGCATTCTGATTTCTCCACATTCTTGACAACACTTGTGATTTTTTTTTCCTTAGTCATCCTAACCTGTATGAAGTGATAGCTCATTGTGGTTTTGATTTTCATTTTCCTAATCATTAGTGATGTTGAGCATCTCTTCAGCTGCTTACTGCCCATTTATATATCTTCTTTGGAGTGTTGACTATTCAAGTCCTTTGACAATTCTTTGATTGGGTTGTTTCTCTTTTTGTTGTTGAGTTGAAGGATTTCTTTCTATATTCCCAAGTCCCAGCTGGGCCTCAAAGATCCAATTTCTTCAATCAGTAAATAGCAAGAAAAAACAAAACAAATGTAAATGAAATCTAGATATTAAAATCTTATTATCTGATTTGAACATATTTCTCCCAGTCTGTAGGTTGTCTTTTCACTTTCCTGATAATAAGCCTTGATACACAAAAATTAGATGAAGTCTGATTTATCTACTTTTTTCTTTTGCTGCTGTTGCTTTTTAGTGTCATATCTAAGAATCCAGTGCCAAATCCAAGATTATGAAGATTTATTTCTTTGTTTTATTCTGAGACTTTTATTAGCTTTAGTAGATGCTTAACTTGTAATTTTCCGTTGTATGAGTCAGGATAAGTTATACTGTTTTGCAAACAACAAACCCTGAAATCTCAGGATATTAACACAATTTAAAATTATATATTGTTTGGCACACAATGCATTATGGATTAGGCAATCCTCCTACATATTGTACCATGGAGTAAAAAGAGCCTGTGAGAGATGTTTTTAAAGATCACCCTTGGGCTGGGCGTAGTGGCTCATGCCTATAATCCCAGCACTTTAGGAAGCAGAGGCAGGCAGATCACCTGAGGTCAGGAGTTCGAGAGCAGCTGGCCAACACGGTGAAACCCCATCTCTACTAAAAATACAAAAATTAGCCAGGCGTGGTGGTGTGCCCCTGCAGTCTTAGCTACTTGGGTTGCTGAGGCAGGAGAATTGCTTGAACCCGGGAGGTGGAGGTTGTAGTGAGCTGAGATCATGCCACTGCCCTCCAGCCTCCAGCCTAGGCAACAGAGCAAGACTGTCAAAAACAAACAAACGAACAAACAAAAAACAAAAAAAACTCAAAACCAAAAAAAAAAACACCAAAAAACCAACCAAACAAACAAAAATCCCACATCTGGAAGTATGCAATTTTCACCTATTTTCCATCAGCTGGAACTCAGTCACATGATCTCAACCTAACTGCAATGGAGGCTGGGAAACTGCCTGCCTACCTGACTATTTTAAATTAAGAAATTATTGGAAAATATCATTTAATCAGGTATGCTATTTTTGCTTTTTGTGTCCTTGAAAATTACAAGATGATAGCCCAATTCATTCATGTTGCAAATACAAGACAGTTTATTGGTGTCAATAATTTTTAATATTTTATAATTTATGTTAGTTGCTATTTTTCAGCACTCATTAGAGCGAATGACATTCTATAACGGAGAATCAGGCAGTTCCCTCAGGGAGGGAAGATCTGTGAAGTGTTTACAATGCCCTTTAGACGGCAGCCTGCTACCAGATAAAGAATGTGAAACAGTTTTGTTACTTTTGGCTCAGAGGATGCTCTCTTTATAAATGTGTTTTGAAAGCAGGAAACAGGACAAAAGCAAAGAAGAAAACAGTGACAGAAACGAAAGAAAAGAATGGAGATGAGGGGAAAGAAAAGAGAAGGATATGGGACAGACAGAGAAGAAAAGGGGTAAGGCTACAGGACTGCAAGAGATATACTCACTTGGCCGCTGTGCCTGTCTCAACACAGCACCTGAGCCAGACAGAAGAAAGCAGTGTGAGCACTGCCATGTCCCCATGCTTGTTGAGAGAAACCTGTGACCAGACCTTGAGAACCTCATCACAGCATGCTTGTCATTTTCAAAAAAGAGATATGTTAGGAGGTCTTAATTAATACAAAGTTATCTCAGGATGGAGTATGAATCCAATGGCCTCCAGAGGAAAGACAGGGCTATGTGTCCTTTGTCACCAGGGCAAACAGTGCCTCCATGCCAGGCAAAAAGCAAATCACGTGGGACCTCTTGCTTCAGTCATGCGGAAGATTCTCCCTGGCCAGAATGTGAGCCTGCAGTAGATGTGGACCATAGAGAATGAGCATCTACTGAAGGTCAAGCAAGTTTATGCAACTGGAGCATTTTATTGGGAAATCACTGGGGCTCTTCGATCTGCATCAAGGTTAAATTAATACAAAGTGTGGTGAAATGCTGCGCCCCAAGGGCAAGAGAACACAGCCCTTATGCTCCCTTATGCTTTTGCAAGGTCAGATTCCTGGTGTCTCTAGTCTGTGGGTATTAATGAGGTCAGAATTCTCATGACAGTTATTTTCTTTGGTTCTTGCACATACCTGCACGATACAGAATGTCTCTCCCTTGCTAATGCACTGCCCACCACAGAGGCTGTCCACCCTGGGCTCGTGGATCATCCTCATACTTTTCCCTTCTACACTTATTGAGCTCTGTCACTTGAGAAGCCGTTAGAGGGTGCAGCTGTCACCTGCGAGAAGGCTGATGTTAGGCATGTCATCTCCCAGGGTTTCCAAATCACAATCCACCCAGCATGAGCACTGCTCAATGTTCCTGGACAAGAAGGTATCATCTCACAAATTTATTCATGCAAATAGAATCACTTGACTACCCCACCTGCTCACCCGATTTTCCTTTACAGTTTGAATCCTGGCTGAGTCCCAAGAAGGACCCTGTTATACAACTAGCACATTCTTAGTTTTGAGGACTCTGTATTCTGTAACTTCTTGCATTATAAACCAAATTAACATGATTTCCTGCCTCCCCTGATTTCACTGGTGCCATCATCATTCATTGAGATGTTGATGTGCAGAGCTTTTCTCTGAACACATGATGGAGAAGGCGACAGGCTGGCCAGCCACTGGGAAGCATGTCCCATGTCTGCCACTCATATAAGCTCTTCAATGTATTTTCTCTGTTTATCATCACACAAACGTAATGAGTTATCATCGCTCCTGTTTTGTATCTGATGAACATCATTTCCAGGTCTCAGCAGTGAGTAAGGGGTTGGATTAAGCACTATGCTTTTCACTGCTATTCTTTGCTGTCTTCCTGCTCTGAGTTTATCTGAAACAGAAAGGAGAGAGAGTAAGTGTCTACACTGTGGTTCTCCAAACTGACCTCCTTCAATGTACCTAAGAAAGAAGAAAGAGTAATCATCTTATTATCAGAAAATGATGCTAACTATTGAGCTGCTGATATGTGTTATGAACACAAATCTCAGCCCTAAAACTCAGATGTGTAGGTTTTTAAAAAATCACCTGTAATTCAGCTTTATATCTACATCAGGCCTCATTCCTCTGAGCAGGTGGAGCAGGGTAATTCCATCTCTTTTAGGGCCCCCTCACCCTGGAGACGGGTGAAATTTGTGGGGCTTGTGTGGTGACCCACTCTCAAGGTGCTGGTTGGTGCCCAGTTGATCTTCGTCATCTCTGTACAGAGGTAATACCTTGGTCTTGGTCTTAGTCATTGTCCTGGGATGAGGTATAAAAAAATGTGTTGTTTTATGCCCCACATTAAGACACACCAATCTTTCCACGGATGCCAAGACAGGCAGGCTTCCACGCGGCCAGGGCCTTGCTGTTTCTCTGTAGTTTGCTGGAACGCCTGCACAGCCATGGCCCATTCACCAGAGCAGTTCCCCTGCATCCACCCAAACTACTCTCCACAAAAGCCATAAAGCCTGGAAGCAATGAGACCAAAATGGTCTCTCTGCTCAAGTAGGAGGAATAAAGCAAAGTAAAATCCTATCCAGGCACATAAATTAAACTTTTTCCAATTATTATAAAATGCTTTTCTTCTTCCCTCTTTCTCTTTATCTGTGCATACTCTTGGGGCTTAGCTCTCTTCTAGAAACTTTCCCTAATTGCTCTGATGCCAGAAATATTCTTTTCTCTGAACTCCCATTTTTCAATTAACATCTGACACATCTTTTATTAGCTTAAAAAACAAAGTTAGCGTCTTGTCTCCTTAACAGATTTTGCTCCCCTGGGTCTGGGGCCGTGTCCAACTTCTTTATCCTTTTTTTTGTTTAAATACCTACATAGTGCTAGGTATAGGGAGTAGCCTAAAGAAAAGTGTATTGAACGTTTAAATTACTAAATAGGTACATGTTCAAATATACATATATAGGCTACATGTTGTATTATTTGATTTTTTTCAAATAATACAAGAGTGCATAAAGTCATTTCCAATTCCTTCTTTATCACTGGAAATATTCTTTACTCTGAAATCAACTTTGTCTGATATTAATATAGCCACTTCAGTCTTTTGTTTTGTTTTGTTTTGAGACAGTCTCCCTCTGTTACCGAGGCTGGGGTGCAGTGGCGTTATCTTGTCTCACTGCAGCCTCTGCCTCCCAGGTTTAAGTGATCCTCCTGCCTCAGCCTCCCAAGTAGCTGGGATTACAGGCACCACCACCATGCCTGACTAATATTTGTATTTTTAGTAGAGACGGGGTTTCACCACGTTGGCCAGTCTGGTCTTGAACTCCTGACCTCAAGTCGTCCGCCTGCCTTGGCCTCTCAAATTGCTGGGATTACAGGTGTGAGCCACTGCCTCCGGCCATCCAGTCTTTTTTTGAGAAGGGTTAGCACAGTGTATCATTGTTGAACATTTTAGTTTTAATCAGTTTGTCTATTTATATTTAAAGAGAATTTCTTGTGTTTATTAGGTCTTTTTTTGATTCAATATGACAATCTCTGACTTTTTATTGTGGCATTTAAACCATTTATACTTAATATGATTATTGCTGTGGTTAGGTCTAAGTATCTCCTCCTGCTACTTGCTTTCTATTTGTAACATTATTCAGTGTTACCCTTTTCCTCTATTTTTGCCTTTTTAAAAATTAATTGAAATTTTTTATGATTCCATTTTATCTTCTTTGTTGGATTTTAGCTGTAACTCCTTGTTTTGTTCTTTTAATAGTTGGTGTAGGGTTTAAAATCTTTAACTTGACATAGTCTATCTTCAAGTCATATTATACAGGTTCACTGACAGTGTAAGAAGCTTAAATAATATACTTCTATTTGCCCTTTTCCACTTATATAGTCTTTATGGTTTTGTTGTCATACATTCACTTATATGTATGTTATGAATTCGATAGTACATTGGTATTACTCTTGATTAAACAATCATATTTTCAAAAGATTTAAATACTAAAGTATATATATTTACCAATGTATTTACTAGTTATCATTTCTGGTACAGTTTATTCATTTTCATCTGGTTTTCATTTCACTTTCCTTCTGCCTAGAAGACTTCTTTCAATATTTCTTATAATATATGTGTAACTAGAGTCCCTAAAGGAGAGAGGTTGTGGGAAGGGCAGAAAAAATATTTGAAGAAATAATGACTGAAAAATCTCCAAATTTGATAAAATGATAAAGCCACAGATCAAATATGCTTAAGGAGCCCTTTGCACACGAGATATGAGTGTCACATAAAACTGTCCTGCCACTCACTGTTGCTATTTTTGTGTTTTTCTTTTAAATTCTTTTTGTCTTTTTCATTTTGAATAGTTTCTATTGTTATGTCTTCAAGTTCACTAAAAGTTCAGTTTGGATCTTTTTTTTAAAATCTTTTTTTAAGAGACAGGATCTCACTGAGTCCCTCAGGCTGGAGTACAGTGGAGCTATCATAGCTTATTGCAGCCTCAAACTCCTGGGCTAAAGCGATCCTCTTGCCTTGGCCTCCCAAAGTTCTGGGATTACAAGTATGAGCCACCACACCCCATCAATTTGGGTGTTTTTTAAAAAAAATATCTTCATAAAATGCTCATCATCACTGGCCATCACAGAAATGCAAACCAAAACCACAATGAGATACCAGCTCACACCAGTTAGAATGGCGATCATTAAAAAGTCAGGAAACAACAGGTGCTGGAGAGGATGTGGAGAAACAGGAACACTTTTACACTGTTGGTGGGAATGTAAATTAGTTCAACCATGTGGAAGACAGTGTGGTGATTCCTCAAGGAGCTACAACTAGAAATACCATTTGACCCAGCCATCCCATTACTGGGGATATACCCAAAGGATTATAAATCATGCTGCTATAAAGACACATACACACTTACGTTTATTGCGGCACTATGCACAATAGCAAAGACTTGGAACCAACCCAAATGCCCATCAATGATAGACTGGATTAAGAAAATGTGGCACATATACACCATGGAATACTACACAGCCATAAAAAAGGATGAGTTCGTGTCCTTTGTAGGGACATGGTTGAAGCTGGAAACCATCATTCTCAGCAAACTATTGCAAGCATAGAAAACCAAACACCGCATGTTCTCACTCATAGGTGGCAACTGAACAATGAGATCACTTGGACACAGGAAGGGGAACATCACACACTGGGGCCTGTCCTGGGGCTGAGGTGTGGGGACGGGGGAGGGATAGCATTAGGAGATATACCTAAAGTAAATGACAAGTTAATGGGTGCAGCACACCAACATGGCACATGTATACATATGTAACAAACCTGCACGTTGTGCACATGTACCCTAGAACTTAAAGTAAAAAAAAAAACTTTTATGTGTCTAGTTAACTTTTTGAACTTCTGGAATACAGTTATAACAATGTTTTAGCGTCCCTGTGTGCTAGTTCTGACACCTGTGCCCATTCTGGGACCGTTTCAATTTGTTGATTTTTCTCTTCATTATGGGGCTTTTTTTCCTTCCTTGCATGCCTGATGATATTTGATGGGATGCCAAACGCTGTAAGCTCTCTGGTGAAAACATAAAGGTTTTCTTGAAGCGAGGTTTGAACTGAAGTTTGAAGGGTATATATGGCTTAAACAGTGAAACGAGGGGAAAAGCATTTAAAGAAGAGGGACAAACGTGAAAGTAGCTGAGGCATATAAGGCTTTGTGTTTTTGAGAAAATAGAAGATTGCTTGGGTGACTGGAGCAAGCAGTGAAACGGAGAATTGCATTCTATGTCTCTTGGGGTAAAGGAATGGGCAAACCATGCCCCACGGACTCAGGGGCCTTGTTAGGCATTTTGTTCTGTATCCTGTGAACAACAGTAATTCTTTAAGGGCTTTACTTAAGCTCAGATTTGCAGAAAAATCACTCTGGCCTCAATGTGAAGAACGGCTTGAATGAGTTTCAGAATAGAAGGGGTGTTGAGTTAGGAAGCCACTGTAGATTTCTGAGTGAGAGATGAGCGTAGTTGGGGCCAGGATGGGAGCAGAGATGGAAAGAGGTGGGCTGACCTGAGATACAAGGTGTGGGGTGACTCTTGACCCTTCCCGACTGTACCCTATTAGATTCATCACCAAGTTCATATGAACGCCTTTCTAAGGGAATATTATTTTCACAGAGTAAACACATTTTTTATTAATATGTTCATAAATGTACTTTGTTACAGTTCTGACTATTGCATGCAGTACCTCAGAAAGGAAACCTATTTATTAACTTGTACCCAGAAAGGACTCTAGTGAATCTCTTCTGATATTTGCCCAAGAATTCCCCTAAAACACTCAGTAAAGAAAAACCTCATTCCAAAGGCCTAGTTCAATATTCCTCAAACTGTAGTGTGCATGAGAATCACCTGGCAAGCTTGTTCAAACAAATATTTCTGGGCCCCATTCCCCAGAGTTTCTGATTCAGTAAGTCTGGGTTGAGGCCAGTGACTTTTCATCTCTATCAAGTTCCTGGGTGATTTTGATGCCGCTGGCCCAGGGACCACCGTGTGGGAATCACTGGTGAATCAGAAGCACTATAGCCAAGAGGTGAACTTCCTAGATTTGACACAAAAACTCTGTCCCTTTCCCGCGCTGTGACTTGGTCAAGTGACTCACCCCTCTGTGCCTTTGTTTCCCCATCTGGGTCTTGGTGAGGCTTAGAGTGAGGACTGTTTGGAAAGCATTAGGACAGGTGTATAAGGAACATACACAAGCTTTTATACATAAGAAAATAAGTTCCATGTGCCTTGCATATTCTACAGTTCTCAGTGTATAGTGAGACAGATCCTGTTTTCAGTTCATTCTTGGCGAATGCTAGTCAAAATTCTATGTGATGTCACCACAGAAATCTTCAGTTAACAGTCTTGGAAAGGACCCAAGCTCTGCTCCATTTCCACCTCCTTGGGTTTGGGTAACTTCTCAGCAGGACTGTGCATTAGGTGAGTGTCTGCTTCTCCCCTGGGTCCGCATAACTTTGCCTGCTCCTAAACAGGCAGTCACATCTGGGAAGAGACAGTAGATAATGGAGCCAGAGAGCTGACTCACCACGTGGGATGGCTGTGGGCAAGTTTCCCAGGTTGCACAAGCCACGGGGTTTTCTGAAACAGATGGAAAGACCGCCTCTGCTGGCCGCTGGCTGACTTCAAGATAGTCATGCTGTGTCAAGAGGTACGAGAAGAAAAGACCCATAAGAGACCCTGTCATCCAAGTTTTAGATCCCCCCGGATTCCTTAGCGATAAGCCATGCATGACTCATTACACATTCCATTTATGAAATTTCCACGGGCAAAGACTCAAATGCCCTTCAACTGGGTGTGCACATGGGCATCGCATAGCTTTCCAGAGTAACCCAAGATACTGGGGTGGAGAGAAAAATGGAACCAGAAGACAGGCCAGCTTCTATGAAAGCCACCCAGCAGCCAGCCAGCCCAGACTCTCAGATCGGGACCTGGGGGCCAGCCCTAGGTAGACAGGCAAGACGTCTTCCAAAGGCTCCCATGTCCTCTTAAAGTGAGAGCCAGACATTAGCAATCATTCTTACAATTTTTTAAAACCACATTATCAGCTGTTATTTTAAATATCCCTAACCTAGGATAGTTAATAACAGAAACAGAAAGCACTTAAGATTTTTAAGATATAATAATTGAAGATCTTGAGTCAGGCTTTAAAATTAAAGCAACTTTGAAATGAGGTCAAAGCTAGAACATTCAGCAAGGAATCTTCATTAGAAAAGTGTGGTTGCGCACGACTAGAACAGTTCTGAGCAAATGATTTTGCTACTAGGAATGGTAAATTCCAAGGAGGCAAATTAGCAGTAAGTTGCAGAGATGGTCACTTGAGTAAAACACAAACAGGGTTAATTTTTTTCACTCAGTCAATTGTATTTCTCATACCAAGCTGAAAAATGCTCTCTTGTAATTTTTATTTTACAATACTGATTCTTTCGTTTTGCATTGCCCCTGCCATTGCAATGTGGACAAAGCAACTTTTTCCATCCTGTTTTAGTTCTCAGAGTATATCGATTTTTAATTTCCTGGAGCCAGTTTTCTACACAATAATATTTTATTCACCATGAGAAGTAGTGTCTGTTTTAAACATTTATAGACTTGTTTCTCCAGGGAAAAATACAAGCTAGAAAGAAAAACTAAAATTTCATTTGATGAGATTCAAGTGGCAGTTGGGGTTTGAATGTAGAAGTGTTGTTTTCTTATCCAGAAGAGTCACTGGAAGTCCATTAAGGAAATGCTATCTAGTCAAAATTTGTTTACTTTCTGGAGATACGACATTTTCTGAGGATTCAAAACAAGTGGGAAATTGCCAGTCTTGCAAGCCTGATTTCAGAAACAAAAAAGAAGAGACAACATATAAAGTTTTCTCTTTGTATATATGAACACACGTATATATTTAAGTTAATACATTAATGGATCATATTATAACATTTCGTTTCAAAAATTTTCTTTTTGTTTTTTTGCTCTTCTTCTTCTCTTTCCCTTCCCAAACTTTCTGCCTTCTGCACAGGTCACTCATGATAACAGTATGTGGCCTATAATTTTCAGCTCACTCGCACTTACCTGCATGTATGTGCACAGATGTTAGAGAGTGCTTGTCTTCATTTTTGTTAGAAATGGGATAAGAAAACAGACTTTTTTTTTTTTCCTGCATTTGGTTTTATTTACTCCATAATTGCTCATGGAAATCTCCCAGAGTCATCAATGTGGCTCTAATTCATTCTTTTGAATGGCTGTATAATAGGTTGTGGTGTGGATAAGCCAGAATTTATTTAGTCATTCCTCTGTCATTAGGCGTTTGTTTGAGTTCCAGCTTTTTGCCACTGGGAACAATACTGTAGTAAATTCTTATGTCCTTGCGTTTTCATTGCAGTGGGGTAGATGAAGGTGGCTCTAGACATTTTAGTTTTGAGTTTAACCTCTTTTTGCCCATCTTTATTTGCTGTAGGGCTACAAAGATTAAAAAAACCCAAAAAAACAACTTAGCCTTTATCAAGCCCTCATAGCTGAGAATGGCCACGGAGCTCAGTTTAAGGCAGAGAAGTGGCTTTGGCTGAGCCTCTTCTGATACAGGCTGAGCATGCCTAGTGAGAAAATCTGAAATCCAAAGTGCTCCAAAATCCAAAACGCTTTGAGTGCTGATGTGATGCTCAAAGAAATGCTCATTGGAGCATTTCAGTTTTTTGTATTAGGGATGCTGAACCAGTCAGTGTAATACACACATTTCAAAATTTGAAAACAATCAAAATTCAGAACACTTATGGTCCCAAACATTTTGGATGAGGGATGCACACTCAACCTGTACCTCTTTCTTCCTGCTTGGAATGCAGCTGTTGCTAAAAGTGGCAGAGGTGAGAGAGAGAGTGAAAGAAAGAAGGAGCCTGCTATGTATGATTTAGCCATGTTTCAACATGTATTTTTGAGCATCTAATCACAAAGATATGGAATCATTCTAAGTGTCCATCAGTGGATGATTGGATAAATAAAATGTGGGGCGTGTATATATATATGTAGAAATACTACTTAGCTATAAGAAAGAAGAATATCACCTCTTGCAGCAACATGGATGGAACTGGAGGCTGTTATCTTAAATGAAACAGATCAGAAACAGGAAGTCAGATACACATGTTCTCACGTAAGTGGGAGCTAAATAAAGTGTACACGTGGACATAGAGTATGGAATAATAGGCCTTGGAACTGGGAAGGGTGGGAGGGTGAGAAGGGTGAGGAATAAGAAATTACTCAATGGGCATGATCTACACTATTCAGGGGATGATTTCACTAAAAGCCTGGACTTTGCCACCACGCAATATAGCCACATAACAAAGCTTCACTTGTACCCCTTAAATTTATAAAAATAAGAAAATGAAGAATAGAGATAGCAAAGAAAGAAACATGGTCCCTGGCTTCATGAGATGTGTAAGCGCTTTGCAGGTACAAGACAAGGTGGCATGAAGCCATGATGCACAGGGAGCTAGAGTGATCTGGGGCAGGTGGTGATCACAGAAGCCCTAAAGGAGGGTGGTGTTGGTTAGGAAAGGCGGGTGGGGAGAATCTTCTGGACAGGAGTGCTATAGTGGTAAGACCTTGGCTTGTTTCTTGGAACAGAGAAAAGGTCAGCATGGCCAAAGCCCAGCACTGGAGGGAGCAGGCCGGGTTTGGTCTTGTTAGTCTTTCAAGGAACTTGAACTTTCCTGTTGGTGAGGAAGAGAGCTAGGGGGTTTCTGGAGGCAAGAGTGAGGGAGCCTTTGTGAGCGTATCAAGTGAGGGATGACACTGGTTAGATCAACAAGGTGCAACTGAATTTAGAAAAAAACTGACAGTTTTGAGATGTAGCTTTCCTTAGTTTTAAAGATTATTATAAAACAATGGCTGCAATGAAAACTACTTTTTTTTTTTTTTTTTTCTGACTTGCCCGATCATCTTTTTAGAAGAAACGAGAAGTGACCCTCTGGGTCAAAATTGATGCCTGTTGAATGGAAAACCAAACATTGCATTTTCTCACCAAATGTGGGAGCTAAGCTATGAGGATGCAAAGACGTAAGAATAATACAATGGACTTTGGGGATCTGGAGGGAAGGGTGGGAGAGGGGGCGAGGGATAAAAGACAACATATATGGTGCAGTGTATGCTACTCCGATGATGTGTACACCAAGATCTCACAAATCACCACTAAAGAACTTACTCATGTAACCAAATACCACCTGTACCCCAATAACTTATGAAAAAATAAAATAAAATAATAATAATTAAAGAAAAGAAAAAACATGAATGCCCATTAAGATGCTGCCACCCATGATCAGATTGCCATCCTCAACTGCTATGTGGTGAGCACTCCCACAGAGCGGCAAGGATGGAGTTTCCAAGACCCTCGTCAGCACTGAAGGATTGTGGTCAGACTCAGACATCCCCAATCCAATGGTGGAAAAGAGAGTTTTGGTGGTATTTGGATTTCTTTTATAGGTACTGTGGTTGAATTTCTCAGTAATATTACAATATCACAAAACATTCATTTGCCTTTAGGAGTTTATAATTTCTTAAAATGAAATGCGTAATTAAATAAAATCCAAGAAGAATGAATTTAGGACTTTTCATCTTTTAAAACCACACCTCCCACTAGTTCCCTTAGGATTTGCTCTTCTTTACAGATGTAGTGTGCACTTGGAATAGGTTTAAGTTCACTTTCCATAGTAAAAAAGTGATGCCATTACATAAGGCTGGTGGGGAAAATGCCTTAACACTTTTTTTTTTTTTTTTTTTGAAACAGAGTCTCACTCTGTTGCCCAGGTTGGAGTGCAGATCTCAGCTTACCACAGCCTTGGCCTCCTGGGCTCAAGGGATCCTCCCACCTCAGCCTCCCAAGTAGCTGGGATTACAGGCGCCTGCCACCATGCTCAGCTAATTTTTGTATTTTTTTGGTAGAGATGGGGTTTCACCATATTGCCCAGGCTGGTCTCAAACTCTTGGGTTCAAGCAGTCCATCCGTCTCAGCCTCCTGAAGTGCTGGGATTACGGGCATGAGCCACCATGTCCGGCCCATAGTCTTACTATTATGGCTACTCATTTCCTCATAGAGTTACAGTGACGATTAAACAAGAGGATATAGAGAGAGGCCCTGGTACAACACTCACTCTTTAAAAAAATTTCCACCAAATGCTACTTGCTTTTTCCTGCTATTTGTTTTCCAAATATATTCATAACAATATCTACAAACCAATGAACCAGTAGCTTCAACAAACCAAAGGAAAAAATTATGGCACTAGGTTTTTAAAAACATGCATGTCATCAGTAAAAGCAAGGTGAAATAACAGATGTACTAAATAATTGTTATATGAATAATTCAGTATGTACCAGGCATGGTAGCACATGTCTATAATCTCAGCTACTCAGGAGGCTGAGGTGGGAGGATTGCTTGAACCCAGGAGTTTGAGATCTGCCTGGCCAATACAACGAGATCCCATTTCAAAACAACAATAAAATAATTCAGTATGAATTCGGCTTATCTTCTTGTTGGGCTACAGAAATGAGCAAAAGAGACAATTAGCTTCAAAAATACTGAATGTATGAACTATCTTATCCATCATCCAGTAGGCACTGACCAGGTTCTGGGCACTGCGTGATGCATCAACACATTTCTAGTTCTGAGG